CGCCAATTAATATTAAAGGCAACGGCAAAAAACGTTCCGCAATTATTTTCTCGTAAAAACCTCATGCATGAAAAACATTTTCGTACATTTTTCTTTCGCTGACGCGCACATTCATCAAAATCTCAGACTCTCGCTCGATCTCTCGCTCTTTCTCTGTCTATGTGAAAATAGAATAACAAGATTGTTGTCTTTAGCTTTAGCTCCCCATTCACCTAATCTTAAAGTCCACATCTCCCGATATCTAAAAGTCATATTCATACGGCGACAACTACGGTATTCGCTGCCCAAAAGAAATATTTATGCGCTCGCTGACGTGCAACTTAATAAGCTTGTTCTCAGATGCCCCAATCTGGAGCAGGGTAGGGGCACGGGGGCTTTGGCTGTCTTGCCTGTGGAGGGGCGAATAATGAGTTATGATCGAACCAAAGAGCGGTACAATCAGCTAACTTGCCCAGAAATTATAACACACTCCAAATCGAAATGAGCTCTGAATTTATTTATATTGGGGATGCAGTTACTGAGGATCAATAAATAAATTTTCTTTTTATGCGCTGCATTTTGATGCGACGCATCTGCCGCAGCACACCCAACTGAAGCGAGCTGCTGGAAGAAACGTGTTGTAAATTAATTATAACAAATTCAAACGCCACGGCAGGGAGCTTACGGCAGGGAAAATTTGAGCTACATTTGAATTTTGTTTTGTCAAGAGATGGAGACAGCTAGAGAGAGAGAGAAAAAGAGAGAGAGAGGGAAAGGGGAAGAGGTAGGGGCTCGAAGGTGGGGGAGACTGGGACAGCATCTCTTTCAGTATTTCAGCATTTCACAATATGTTCGAGGGAAATGTGTCAGTTGACAAATTGCACAGGAAAAACATGACAAGCTCGCAGCGCTATTCCTCGAAAGGTGTTGCAAGAGATGGGCATAGTCAACAGCTTCCACCGAGCAGCTGGAGGCCAATCTGACAGCTTAACAAATTGTGAACAATTATGCAAACATTTTTGCAATAGCCGCGGCTATATCTGCGTATTTCTTTTGCCTTATTATACCCTGAACCCATTGAAAATGGGAAATCAGGGTATAATGGTTTTGTGAAAAAGTATGTAACGGGCAGAAGGAGGCGTGGCAGACCCCACAAAGTATATGTATTCTTGATCAGCGCGACGAGCTGAGTCGATATAGCCCTGTCCGTCTGTTCGTCTGTCCGTATGAGTGCGTCGATCTCAGAAGTTATAAAAGCTAGAGAGCTGAAATTCTCGTGTGTACCATACGTAGTACGAGTTTGCTTTATTTTTTCAATAAATCATCCGGTAACTTTTTTATCGTGAATAATCGAAAAATTGATATTGTTTTTTTAGCCTAATTTGAACACTTTTAGACCTGGAGTCTTCAAATTTGCGTTGTATATAAGTTAATGGATACAAAGATTTTGTAGTTTACAGATTTTAGATACCACGCCCCCTTCGCCCCAAATTTTGTAAAAAACGCATTTAAAGTACTAGAGACTTGTGCTTTGGAATGTACACACATATTCACCATATGAATACGTTCTTAAAGTATCATTAAGATCCTATGTCTACAAAAGAAATTATTCAACAAATAAATTGTCATAATATTGCCCACACTGCAGCGCAGCCCAAGCGCAGTCGCTGCTTACTGCGCAGTTAACAGAGCGTAGGCTTATGCGTGCGTGTGAATGCATGTGTATGTATGTGTGCATAAAAGAAGTGCAGAATGATTAGAATATCAGCTTAGAGGGTTCAGGGTATCTCCTAGTCGAGCAGTCTCGACTGGAGCTTTCTTACTTGTTTTGTATGGATGCCCGATCGCAACTTGACTCTCTATCTGTCTCCTTCTCTCTCTCTGTCACTGGTGAGCTGAGTAATTTCCATGCAGTTTGTTTGAGTTTTTCAAATTTTAATGTACAAATTTGTTAATTTACCATAAAACCTTGCATATTTGTTTTGCCGACAGTACGCGCCCTCAATGGCAGATATTAATGTGCGTCCATAGTTTGATTAAAAACTGGCAAAATGCCAGCGGGCGACATTAAAATGCACTTCAGCCACAGCCACAGCCCCAGGCACAGGCAGAGCCATAGCAATATCCATAGCCTGACAATCCATCCATCCATCCCATTTGGGGTAGAGCTGCCACCAAGTGGCAAATGGCAAATGGAACTAGGGGGAGCTGGAACTGTATTATTTATAAATATTAATGTGCAAAGTGCTAAGCGTTGATAACAAACGTTTTATAAATAAGTCAGCCAGAGTTTATTTCTCTAAACTTCAATTAAATTTGCAAACATATTTAAATTGATTTTTTATCAAATTTAGTTTTTCATTTTTTAAAAATGTTTTATAGATTATTTCTTTTGTTTAATGAAAAGTGGGAATAGGTCTCAAAAATATAAATAAATATATTGCTCCAATTTGGTTTAAAAAAAAATATTTTTATAGATTTTCTTTTTTTCATAATTAAAGCATTGAAATGACAAACAAAAATATAAATAAATATATTGCCCCAGCTGAATTTATTAGGCTTTTAGTATTTAATTCACAGCCATATTTCATAATTTTTTTTTATTTCCATATTTTTTCATTTTTTTTTTAAATAAATTTTGCTTTTATTTTCTTTTCATTCATTTGTTACTTTTGTAAACAATTATATTCTATGCGACATATGGCTAGATTTGAGATAAATGGAATTTTAATTAGGAAAAGCCTTTTTAATTATTATAATTATAATAATTATAATTATAAATATCTATATTATATGTATATATATTATATTATTAATAATTTAAAATTTAAATAATTATAATATATTTTCCCCTATCTATAGTATATACATATGTATATATATATATATATATTTCTAAGAATTTAATTTAATTTAAATAATAATTAAAATGATATCTCATAGAAATCTCTCTCTTTAAATAATAATAAAATAATATTTGTGTGCCCTTAACAACAGTATGCAGCTGGCCATATTCTAATCGTATTTTATTAGGCAGTACACCTCGATAGTGAGAATCGAATTTCGCCTTGGCTTTATAACAGATATTCTATCAAGCAATAGCGATCATATCAGTTGAGTAGATACTTCAAAACGTAATCATATCGTTGTTTTCACATTGTCATCAATAAATTTGGCATAATAGAAACAGTTAGGTGCATATGACTCATTTCATGGGGTATGCGACTTTATCGCATGGCTATAAAACGGAAGTGAACTTTATATCTGCTTACTGTGACTTCGTCTTATCTATGTTTTGTGTGTTATCTTGTGGACACACGCCTTTAAATTTAATAATGTTTGATTACAGAAAATACATCGATAATAGAAAAAAAAAGCAATGAATGTTTAAGGTCATCCAAAGTTTTTTACATCAGTTTTCCTTTAAAGCGTCGCCCAGCCCAGCATAATGCGGCATATCCGTTACGATTCGAGAAATCTCTTGTCGTCTCCACGCGCCAAAAAGCGGCTTAAAATCTTTGCGCAACTCATAAATGCTTAGCGAATGATAAGTGGCATTTCATTCAGATATTAACACGCTTACATATACTATACACATATACATATATACTTATGCTGTCTGCGCCAAGAGAAATAAAATTCAAATTTCTTCTACTTACTGCACATACATATGTATGTATATCGTGTATATATGTGTGCATATTTATGTATATAAATAATATATATATATAGTATATATTATATACTCATATGTGTGTCGCTTATATCGAGCGCACGCTGTCACTAAACGCCCGAGAAATGATAAATCGCTTTATAAAAGTGCAGCCGTGAGTTGTTGTGTTCAGCGTTTTGTTCTTTGCTTGTTCGGCTGCTGTTTCTGTTCGGTGTCGTTTTCATGTCACATTGTGCCTATAAATACAAAAGCGCACAGTGACTAGCCCCAGTTGCAGTCGCAGCGATCCTTGCAGACGCTGCGACGACACAAAAACAAAATGAATAAAGTAAAATAAATTCCGGGCAACTCGATGGCCAAGTTTCAGCTGGGAACCCACCCAGAATAGGCAATTATAATTTGCCTGGCATAGGCGTTAAAGCAAATCTTTCTAATGAAATCTGCGTATCTCCGCATATATATCAACAGCCCCCTCTTAGCACCCTCAGCTCTCTCCCCGCCCTGCCCATTCCTGTCGTCTGCGTATGCAAATTAACTTAATTGCTAATAAGTGGGCCCCACTCCTCACCCTCTCGACTGCACGAGACAATGCCTTCGCATTAGCCATAGGTTCAATGCATTTTAATTGGCTGCCTTGTGGAATCCGTGTGCGATTCGCATGTGTTTTGGGTTAATCTCATCATTAGAGCACATGCTGCTTGGCAGTTGGACACAGGCAAAGGCTGACATTGTCATGTGGGGCGACAGTTTTGCTATTTTCTAATTTTTGCTGATTTTGCGGCAAAGTATCTCATGGATGCATTTTCAATTGGCCATTGCAGAGCTCCTATGCGGGTGCGTATCTGGAGGATAAGCTCATCTTTTACAACAAGCACATGGAGAAATATGGACAATTCACGGGTAAATATAGTATATATAGTATAATAGATATTATATATTTCTTTATTAATTTCTTATATATTGCATATAGATTTCGATTCCAGCGCCAGTGCGAATGGCTCCAGTTTGGATTGCCTCAATCTCATTGTGCAGAGCATCAATAAGAGCACAACGAATGCCGCACAGATGACAGCAACCGCCAGCAAAGTCACCACAGTTGTCACCACCAACAGCGCCAGTAGCACGAGCACCACCAACACCACCACAACCACAGCAACAGGCAAACGCAGCACCTCCTCGTTGAACGCCAACTTCAAGCAGAAATGTAGCACCTAGCATTAGCATTAGCATTAGCATTATTGGACTCATGTGTGAGGCCAGACTAGTTAAATGTAAAGTTAATTTTAAGAGACAGCCAAAGGATACGCGCTATACCCCAAAGGACACACCAAATGCCAGTGAACATATGTAGAATTTTTTTTTAGCTCTAGCTACTACTTAATTAAAGACTACAAATAAAGCAGACTTAAGCACGAATCTTTACAGAGGTTTCAGTCCACTTCCAGCTTGCGAAAGGAGCCGCTGGTGCCGCCCAGTTCGCCAGTGGCCCAGGCATTGGCTAGGCCGACGCGCAACTTCTCGTTGGTGCAGTATTGCGAGTCCGTTGCCAGGTAATCCTTGTAGGCCTCCAGCTTGCCGCGCCAGTAGTCCAGCGCCTCGGCATGGTAGCCATTACTGCCACCGTACTCAATGGTCATTGCCTCGGCCGGCAGGTGGTTGTATAGGTCTTCGGATTTCTTGTGCACTACGAACTGGTTAGGGCGGGGGAGAGGGAGAGGGAAGAGGGTATGAGATTAGTGGACAGGCTTGAAGGGTTGATTGAGTGCGATTACTCACCTTAAAGGGCAGCTTGGACGGCAAAAAAGAGGTGACGAAATTGAAGATTTTCTGACCCGACGGTATCATATTGACCAGGTGAATCTCTACGAAGCGTAGCGGCAGACACTGATCCACCAGCATGAAGGTCTTCTTCAGCAGAAATGGATCGTATTGGAGCATTTGTTCCATGGTGACATCACGTGCATCCACTACGTAGAATAGACCCGCAACCGATGCATTGTCGCACTCCAGGGCCAGCAGCTCCAGCAGAATGAAGAGCAGCTTGAACGCTTCGCGGGGATTTGATTGCTTCGGATCGATTTTGCAGAACTGTGAGATAATGACGCGCGGCCCCTGTGAGCTAGCGGGACGCTTGGGTATCACGTGGATGCTGTGAAGACATTCGTTGAGACATCAGCAAAAATAAATGGAGCAGTGCCCGGATGGAGACTTACCCGCGATCAAACTGCCGCAAGAGCGCCTCGTCCACCTGCCTGCCGCAGAGCACCTCGGGAAAGTCGTTCCGCAGGGAATAGTAGTTGTCGATGCGCCGCTTGGCTGCCTCCACACTGAAGCGGCAACGGCGCAGGAATGCCAGAATTAGCCGCTCATCCGTGCGTGCCTTGAGATACGGCGACTTGGCAATCCATGTCTGCAGCGTGACTATAAACGTCTCCCGCTCCGACTGCTGCTCATTGCACTCCGTAACGGCCAGTTCAGCGAGCTCTGCTGGCAGTGGTCGCAGTCCGGCCATGTTTGCGCCTTGATAATCGCAGTTCAAATGCAGAGTGAGAAATGCCAACTGGCTGACGCACAGCGGCAATCTAATCAGTAACAGCGACCAGGTAATAGCTGGAACGCATTCTGTTAGATAGCCGCCAATGGAAATATATTAATATGCATACAGACAGACACACAGATAGACATGTGTACTTGTAGATAGTGCGCATTATGCGATATATTGTTTATCTATGTGGTGTACACAATTTTAATTGATCGGCTACAGCAGATATTTGACTTAACAATAGGTTCAGCCTCGCCCCGATCGCTGTCAATCCCAGTTCAGCCTGCGGAAGGAGCCGTTGACGCCAAACTCTGCCTCGTAGGTGGCCATCTCAACCGGTCGCAGCTCCTCAATGGTGCCGTACTTGTACTCCTGCTCGAAGTAGCCCCGATAGCTATTCAGCAAATCCTCCATATAGGCGATGCTCTCGTTCAGGTGGCCATTGGTGCCGCCATATTCCTCGGGCAGCGAGCTTTTCCCGATGTGGTCGAAGAGCTCCTCGGCGTTCTTCAGCACGCGTATCTGTGGCATTGCTCGATAATTCGTGCAGGAGGAGGTTGCCTAAGCTACATCTTGCTTACCGGATAGTTGACCTGCATGCTGAGCATATTGTAGAGATACATAATGCTGCCTTGGATGTCCTTGGGCATGTTGATCACGTAGACTTCTTTGATGCGCAGCGGACTGCAGTCGTGCAGCCAGCTCCACCATCTGCGAAAGAACTGCTTGTCGAAGCGACGCATCTTGTCCGAGCTGACGCCCTCCAAGTCGATGATCTCACAAATGCCCGCCACAGACGCATAATCGTTCTCCAGGGCCACGATTTCCATGGCCATGGACGTGAAATGGTAAATCTCCCGCAAGCTGTACTGATTGGGATCGAGTCTGCCAAAGCGTGCTATGAACAGAGCCGTGCGGTTGTCGCACTTGGGCAGGTCCGGGTAGATGAACATCCTAAAGTATGGAATGGACATACTGAAAGCTGGAGCTGTTCACATTTTCCCAATTACTTACCCCAATCTATTGACATCCAGTAGCCGCTGTGTGATATATCGGTTGCTCATAATTTCTGGGAAGAGATTATAGTAGGAGAAGTAACGATCCAGTCGCCGCTTGGTCTCCTCCAGGCTGTAGCGACAGCGTCGCAGAAATGCAATCAGAAAGTCGTCCTCGGTGCGCGCCCTCAAGTGTGGCTGCTGGCGTATCCAGACCCGTAAGATGATAATGTCCTGCTGTATCCTGTCGGGTGTTTCGTTCAGCTCCTGCTCGGCCAGCTTGGCTAGCGTTGGGGACAGCGGACGTCGCATCTTGTTGCTGACTCTAGCGATTATGGCTCAGATTTTCCGATAATTGGGCCACAGCTGGTCGGTTGGGTCGGTTCGGGTTGATTAGCTAATTTAATTATCTTATCAGGCAAATAGTGGGGAAAGTACGTACCATCATTAAGAACAAAATAACTGCATAGTAAAACTATCACGGATATACGTACATAGATACATCCGTATGTATCTTCTTTGGGGGCATCGTTACATGCTCTATGTATATCAAACAGTCACATCCGGCCCCTTTGTCCCGCGGGCCACTTAAGTGCTCTCTCCCTGCCAGCTTCCAGCCATTACCGCGGGTGCTCTGAAATGTGATCGCCGTTTTATGCTTGAAATAAATCTGACACTAAATAGTAGTCTGTATATATGTGTGTGTGTGTGTGTGTGTGTGTGTCTGTTTAGAGCAGTCAATTTGAGTACCCGTCAGAGAGACGACATGTGTAGGAGGAGGTGCTGATGCGGTGCGCACCTACCTTCAGTTCAGCAAATTGCTCTGACATGGCGCTGTCAGCTGCTGACAAGCGCACGACATCGATGTGGATGTCGACGTGGACGAAGACGTGGCTTGGCTGGCAGGAAGCGGATCAGTTAGCTGGATCTGTATTTGGAGTTGTCATTGCCTTCGCGTCCACCTCCGCCTCTACCTCTGCCCTTGTCTCAGTCTGTGTCTCTGTCTCTGTAGTTCTCTGCCTTACTCCAATAACTCATAACACATTATGGGCCTCTGCGGCATGGGAAATGGTAATGTACTTTGATCTTCAGCTGACGAGAGCAGCGCGTGTAAATTCCCTTACTGCATTCTTATTGCTTATGACACAAACATATCGCTGCCATATTCATAATGAGGCTCATTAACTTTATGCACTGCAAACACCACTACAACTCAAAGAAACACTCAACACTTTGGCTCGCATATCCCACAGCGGCTGTCGTATTGGTTCCTTAAAAATAACAAAATAGTCATTGCTTAAACTCAGACGGGTCTTTGCAACTGCTCGATGCTCTGTTCTCCAGGAAAAAAAACTCTTTGTGCTCATTTAGGAAAGTGAAATGAGTAGATTGGTTTTGTGGAATGTCTTCTTTCTGTATGAGTACACACTATTTCACCGTTACTGCAGATTGAGAAATTATGATTGATTATATACTCGTGTATACCATCGTCTAATAAGATGTTAAGATCTCCTCGGTACGCTCATTGGGCCGGGTATACATATAGGCATGAGAAACTTACATTTTAGCGAGTTATTGGTGTCATCTATTGATTTGCAAAAAATGTAAAGTATATGTATATCAAATCGATAAAACTCTATACCATGCCAGATAACCGTAAATGAGTATTCTGCAGGCGGTAGTGCGCGACTGAGCTCCACGTTTTCATGTTCACATATTTTTAGTTATTTAAGTTGGGACTCTTAAAAAGTTTTTATGCGAAAGCTCCTTTTTCGCCCTCTATATAGTTCGAATATACTCTCTGCCCCAATTCGTGAAAGGAGTCAACGAGGGGAAGGAGGCCTGAGTGTGGCATGTAATGGACACGCTGCTACTTGATAAGTGTATTTTGTTGTAAACACTTGGGTATATTTCCCCAAGACGCATTGACATGCTGTTGCCACTTGCCACTGCCACATGTGATGAGCCCATTAAAATGCATTTACCCTAATATATGCCACAGCTCCAATATGAGAAATGGCTGCCAGCGGCTGTATATAAGGCAGAAAATTTGTAATCTCAATTCATGGACTTCTCACTTGGGTTTCCACAACAAACAATCTGACATGATATTTGAATGAAAATATATTTTTAAGAAATAACTTAAATTTATTATTCTACATACTTTTCCTTTCGTTTACAAGTCGAAAGTTCTCTTAGTTTTAAGCTATTGCCAAAAGATTCGCTGTGGCGCACTCATTGGTCATGTACAAATTATGAAGATTTCATATTTAATTTATAGATTTACATAAAACGCCCCATTTTGTCGGGGCCAGATGCATATAAATGCAGCAAAGGCATTTGCTGTGCGCTCAATTGACAATCATATTTATAGAGCACGTAAAGAAAAAAAAAAAAAAACAAAACAAAAAATATATATAAAAATTTCATTTGAAGAAAAACTTAGGAAAATATTTATACGAAAGATGTTCTCGGCTGGTCGTTGTCGCCGCTCGACTGCCAGTTGTCACTCAAGTTGATCCGAAATTTCGTTTATACTTGCCGTGCCGTGGACCGATCTCCGGACTGGTGCTATGGGGGTGTGGCCGGGAGTGAACGGCAAATGAAATTTCATTGTAAACAGACGTGACACGGCAAATTGAACAGCTTAAACAAATTTCCGTTGTTTTGGTCGTTGCGCTTGGACAATTCTCCAGAGTCTGTGCCAGCGCTCGCATCCGCATCCGCATCCTGTAACGGGGGCGATTTATGGGTTTCCTTGAGTTTATCACTTGAGTGGCTGAGTGTTTGAGTGACAAACATGTTTTCTATCCTAATTGGTCCTTGGAGTGGTGACGCAACACCAGCTGGACCCTCGTTTATATATAGATTATAGATCAGTATACGCTACGCTTAACCCATTCAAAGATCCCATAAGTCCATGAGACTTTGGCCAGCTCATTTGTAGACGACGGTGTGCCAAGAGCGGGCGGGCAGGCGCAAGCTGAATGCACCGCGCTGACTGTCATTGAGCGCCACATTAACGGGCAGGTTTTCGCTGTTGGAATGAAAGAAAAGTATCTGTGAGATGCATTCTTAAAATATATGTATGTATAGCCCTGTCTCCTCGAGTGCCATGCGCAATTAAGAGCCAGCCACTTTAGCGCAGATGCCGCCAGAAATAGCAGCTACTTCAGCAGGATGTGCAGACACTTGAGTCGTGGACCCGACGCGTGCCACATACCCATTGTACACGATCAGCGCCACGCTGCCATCCGGCCTCTGGAAGCCTACCACGCTCAGCTGCGGAAAGGACTCCGTCTCATTGGTGATCGCCTCGATCCGCACGGATTCCTCTGGCAAAAACTTGCTGAAGTGCCCGATTGCATAGTATATGGGCTGTTTGTAGAATTCCGTGCGACTCGTTGTGTTCACAATCACCGGAGCATCCACATAATTGTGCACATAGTTCGGGCCGCCCCGCTCGTCGAGCACCAGATTCCAGTCCAGCCAGCCGTTAAAATGATGAAGCAAGTCCTGTATGTAGGCACGCATATAGCTCTCGCCACGCCCCCAGCTGCCCAGCTCCGGGCCATGCGTCTGCCAGGGCTTGTCACCGATGCAAGATTCCGTGTTCAACAGCAATTTATCTGGCATTTCCGCATGCGCCCGATCTATACAGTGTGGCCCAAAGATCTCATCCCAATACCAATGCACGGCCAGGCCATCGAGATAATCGAGTGCAGTGCTGCGAGAGGTGCGCATCTGCAAGAGAGAGAGAGAGAGAGAGAGAGAGAGAGAGAGAGAGAGAAAGGGAGAGAGAGAGAAAGAGAAAGAGAAAGAGAGAGAGAGAGAAAGAGAAAGAGAGAGAGAGAGAGAGAGAGAGAGAGAAAGAGAGAGGGAGAGATTAAGAGAGGTATTATAAATTTAGATATTTGTTGTACTGGTTCAGAATTTTAATGTGGTATATTGGATTTGATCGATTTCTATTAAAAATCAATTAATGTGAATTTAAACTCAAATATTATTT